ATACTTTACATTAATTATATACATTTGTATAAAATACCATATTATATGGTGTAATTATATCTTATATGTATGAGTAATATATAATATTAATTAGACAGAGGTATTAAAGATTGAAAATATTTTTCAGCTTATTCTCCACATTTTCTGAATCCAATAAATTCACGAACATTACAAATGGAAATATCTAATGCATTAGATATCAAAATTTTTAGCATTCTTGAATATCTCCACTTATCATCAAATTATCTCTTTCATTTATCCTTGATTGATTAGTGATTATTAATGCCTAGACTAGTGAAAGAATATCAGCAAAACTCAGTTACAAGTACATGTTGATGACTGTATATGCTGAGACTTGTAATTAGATAAGAAAATGATAAAAGGGAAGTTAGTACAAAATAAATGCAATGTCAATTTACTGTTTACTGAATTCTTCATAGAAAACATATGTGATTATCAGGAATAATTACATTATCAGAGGCAAGATTGCTGCTACCTACCCAATGCACAAGTATACATGGGCTTATTAACTAAGAGAAGTTAAGAGGGAAAAGAGTGTGGTTATATGTAGTTAGAGCATAAGATGTGGTGAGGTACAGAAATAGAGAAAGTTAAAGTAAATTAGGCTTAACTAGTGAATTGGTTTATATCATTAAGGCCCTTGTAAGGTAGATTAAGGCACTTGAACTTTACCCTATGGGCAATGGAGAGCCAATAGTGAGTTACATGTAGATAAGTGAAATGATTAAGTTTATCTTTAAGGGAGGCATTTAGTTGAGATAAGAACGCGTAAGATATTGATGGAGATATATATGAGAAGTGATTTATTAGAAGAACGGGCTTAATTGATTAAGGAGGATGAGAAGTCCCATGATAGGCTGTCTGCAAGCTTGAAAACCATGGTAGCTGATAACATGCCTCTATGTAAGTCTGAAGACCAGAGAACCAAGGAAGCAGATGTGAAATTCTCAGACTATAGGTAAAAGTGCAAGAGTATGGGGATGGGGAGTGCACTGCTGTGTGAGCCCCAGAGTCAGTGTCCAAAAGCTGATATCCAAGAATAGGAGAAGAGCACTTCAGCTCTGGAAAAAGCAAGAATTTATCATCCTTTGTCTTTTGGTTCTATCTGGGAGTCGGCTGATTGGATGGTGTCCACACACACTGAGGGTGGAACTTCCCCACTCAGCCATGAACTTATAAACCAATGTCCTCTGAAAACACCCAGACAGACACACCATGATTGCTCATAACTTCTAATCAAATGCCAGACCAATGTCTTCTGAAAATATCCAGACAGACACACCATGATGGCTCATAACTTCTAATCAATGCCAGGCCACCTGGGACTCCCTTTTAGTAGAAAAGAAATGGGCTTAGTGTCTAGTGAAGAGTGAGAATAATTAATGCAGTGATTGCAAATAAATAAATAAATGAATAAATGCTTTGCCAGCTATGAGTATTTCTTAATTTAGTCAATAGGACACCCAGAGACAGTCAGCACAGAAGGTAACTGAAGGCAGCACAGTAATGATGACATGAGAGACACTAGACTTAGAACAATCAGCTATGAGATGATTGTACTAATGCTAATGAAGGACACGATGACCAACGTTAAGCAGTCATAATAATGATAAGAGCCAAGGACTTAGATTAGTAAGACATTCCACACATAAAAAGTCACATGCTTTCCATGAGACAAGGTGAGAAAGAATGAAGAATAAAGGATGCTTTGAGCCTTGGTGCTGAGCACGACAGCAGAATAATAGTTTCTATAATATGGCATTCTACAGTTTATGAATTCTTTCCATATACTTCATTCCATTGTTTCAACAATCTTGTGATAAATTAATATGTATTAATAACAAATAGGGTTTAAATAGTAATTTACAAAGGAGTAGAGCATTACTAAACAATTTCTTTGTAAGATGTTACATGAAAGCACTTTTTAAAGTCATTTTTTCCTTAAAAGTTGACTCATGTTTTCCTCTTCAAAGATATTTTTGAATACCTGTATTGTTTTTAATTCTCCTGATGTTACCAGATAGTTGGACTTTTGCCAGCTTTTTTTAATGGGTATGTGTATAGTTGGTGATGCCATATGTTTATGAAAACAAAGTTACTTAGCACTTCTCAAACTTGAATAGCTCTATAAATCATCTGAAAATAATGAAGAAATGAAGATTCTAATTCAGTGGGTCTTAAATGGTATCTGAAATTCTGCATTTCTTATAACCTCCCAAGCAATGTCAATGTTTCTAGTCCAAAGAGAACATTTTGACTAGATAGAATGTAGAACAAGTCACATGCCCCCCACAAAGTATCTTTGCTTAAGCAGGTGTGCCATTCTGAGATGCTAATAATGTAGTATATTTCAATTTTAAAATCCCAACTCTTTTCTCAAAGGTTTGAAGGTGTTGCCAACTGTATATGTATTTTTTCTCAGCAGTATAACTGCATTCCATTTCTGCCTCTGTTGGCAAGCAGTCCCTTAAAGGTTTCAAGACATGTCAGTGGTCTTTTTCAAGAAGAACTCTCATAAAGAACCACCTCATTGTTGGTTGTTCATTAATAGTTCTCTTACTGACAGCTTGGATGTATGCCTCTTAATTTTGCAAGTATTTTAAAATTAAAATTACTTCCAAAGCATTTCAAATACTTTTGGCAATAACCTCTGCTTGGAAGCAGAATTCTTAACTCTCCTCCCACAGGTCTTTTCTCTTATGATTCCATATCCTTGTGGGTTTCCTTAATAGTCCGAAATTCCACAATATAATCCATGTGTGTTGAAAGACATCTGAAATCATTGACATGCCTCAGGGTTTCAGGATTAAGCAACTATCAGCTCTGCCTTTATGTAATGAGATGCAGAGAAGTGATCTCCTATTTAGATCCATCTAAAAAATTCCTTCTTGCTCTTTCTCCTCCTCCATCCTTCCATTCTTTCTTAGAGGAAATCCATTTATGGTTTGGACATGTTTCACAGGGATCATATTTTCATGTCTGTGAGAAGTTCCCCAAACTAAACTCCAAGAGGTGGACAATACCTCTTTGTGTACATGACAAAGAGGGTAATCTTGAATGCACAGGTTGATTTTTGTGAGCTTCTAGGAAAGAACTCAGCTGCCCTGGAGAAAGAAAGGCTCATGCCTGCCTTTTAGTTTTCTACATGCGGGGCAGATACTTGAGAAAATATAGAAAGTGTAGATTAACCTAATTTCTCAAAAATTCTAGAGATTGTAGTGCAGAGAGTATTTCATTTAATCTCCTATTTGATTCAGGAACCTTTAATATCACATCCCTAAGATTCACTGAAGGCACAGTGAGTACGTTTTGAAGGGTTGAGACTGTCGTTGGACAGCTCCAGTTAAAAATCTGCAGCTGTGAGCAACCATGTACACTCCCTCCAGTTGCTCTGATGTTTCTTGTTTTTCTGCTCACCTTCTATGCACATATGTGCTCTTGCCTTTTCAGATTTACAGTTAATTAATTTATTGTTGAAAGCTTTCAATACTGCAACATGAGCACTCTAAAATGACTTCACTTTGGTTAAGAGCTCAATACTCCTCAAAATATGGCAAAACCTGAACTCTGATATGTACCATTGCTTCTCAGTCTGTGTATCATCACTGTATTTTGAATGTCATAGGCATTCTGGTTTCAAACACCTTGCTGCCCTCTTAAGGAATCTGATAGTCTGTCTCACTGTAGAGTATGCACTTTTTGCCTCCTGTTTTTTAAATGCACAGAGTAGAGTTAAATAGCATTCATTAGGCCACACATACTGCTGATTGATCCAACTGGGAGTATATCTTAGGAAACTTGGCTCCCAGTCTGTGTGCCACATAACCATTTCTGATGATTGCTAATTCACACAGTGTTTCTCCTGCTGAAACATGCAGAAAGACAATCCTGTTAGCAAATTGAACAAGTCAGTCTATAGTAAGTTTCTTAAATTCTTCATGGCCTTTGTGCTATGCCCTGTAATACTCTTCCTGGGAAGCTCAACTATTTTCTGCTTAAAATTTTAACTATATGCTTCTAAACCTGAAACACATGTTATCTTGGCTGCTGTCATTTTGTGTGAGCTTCTCTATTCACATTTTATATATAGCAGGTAAAAAGGAGGCAATTTTCTTTCTCAGTTAGAGAGAGGAAAAAAAAGGAGTAAGGGTGAAATGAGAGAAAAGAATAACTATAAATTAGAGCAATAAAGCCACATGGAGGAAGAGAGTACAGCCACTTGGGCATCTATTATCCTAATATCAAATACTATACTTTGGCTATCACTAATTTGCCCAGCATTCCTCTGGAATCAGATTTGTGGCCACCCAGATTAGCTGTGTGAGCTGATCTCTTGGTTTAATATCAGCTTGTTTTCTGTAGCTCCTATGTCATTTACTGTCTTAAAAAAGGGTACTGATTGTTAATCATCTGTATTTTCAAGAGCCAAGGTCTTTCTTTTTCTTTCTTTCCTTCTTTTTGTATGGGAACCATGAACTACAAAACTTTAAACCACTCACAGAAAAGGTGGAAGCCCAGAGAAAAAGGGGTTTGTCTTTTATGGTTTGTTACTTTGTAAGCTGTGGGTGTGACTCAATTTCCTCACCACCCACATAAAAATGTTGCCACCCAATCACTGTTTTTTTTTTCTGTCCCAAAGCCCTCCCCTTTGATTTTGGCTGAGAGACCCTAAGAAAGACTGCCCTTTCTGAACGTTGCAAACTGTGACATATAAAAGCTGTTAGCTGCTCCTGTAGCCAGCAGCATTCAAACCTTGCAGGCTTTTGCTCTCTGAGAGCTTGTAATAAGACACACTCCTCTTACAAGAGTTCATGCTACAACATAGCAAAGAACTTTAAACTTTTGGAAGAAAATTAGATTCATTTTGGCATTGTGCAGAGGTAAGCTATTTGGCTCAACAAGTTTATATTGCATGCATTGATTTTAAAATAGCTCACATATTTTTTTCTAGAAAGGAGACTATTTTTTGTATTTGTTCTCTCACTGGTTGTACATAAATGTCTAGGAGACATTGACAGCACATTTTCTGTTGTTACCTGTGTTCATTTTTCCTCTTCACTTTCAAGGTGGATTTCAGTTCTTAAAGATTTCCCACTGAAAATAAATGTATAGCAATGCATTTTGTCTATTAGGCATTTGGAGAAAATGAATCACATTCATTTTAGGGTTAGTAGTCATGTTTTTTATTCTTCTATAGTTCTAGAAAGTTCCTCTTAGGGTCTAACTCATAATACAGAAAAATGAATAGAGATTCTACTATAGTTTGTCTCTTAGGCTTGGGTTTAACATTTGTTTGGAGTTTTGGAGAAAGTCAAATGAAGCAGTACTCCCAAATGATTATTGTGAATTTATACCCTCTGGCTCTATTTTTATTTCTAACTCTACCCTTTTTGCTTTAAAGCAAAGTAAACTGGGTGGCCTCTTCTTCTCCACTCCTCAAAATGATAGCAATTTCTGCTGTCAGCCGGGCTCTCCTGTTGTCCCTTCTCTGTGAAGCAAGTGCCGTGGTCTTACTCAATTCTACTGACTCATCTCCGCCAACCAATAATTTCACTGATATTGAAGCCGCTCTAACTGCACCACTAGACTCAGCGGATCTCCCCAAAGCCAGGCGGAAGCGCTACATTTCGCAGAATGACATGATCGCCATTCTTGATTATCATAATCAAATTCGGGGCAAAGTGTTCCCACCGGCAGCAAACATGGAATACATGGTAAGAGGAATCCTTTTTTCTTTTAAGGTCTGAGTGAGAAAGCTTTAGTTTATATGTTAGGAAGTCCTAAAGGGACCGTGAGTATTTGGGTATATGTCAAGAGGTATGGGCTTTTTTACACATTTTAACTCAGGAAATGTTTTTATATACCTAATAATGCTAATAATGTTGAAAACTGCTCCATTATAGAATTTAAGTATGTGTGTGTGTGTGTGTGTGTGTGTGTGTGTGTGTGTGTGTGTGTGTGTGAGAGAGAGAGAGAGAGAGAGAGAGAGAGAGAGAGAGAGAATGAGAATCTGTATGGATTTTTCTTCTGTGAGTTCCATAACCACTAATGAACCACATCTTTTAAAAGATGCATGCATAAAGAGTCGGTATATTGACTGATCCATGTGGAAGGTCTACTTTTTAAAAAAGAAATTCACACAGAACTTTTCCTGTGTTTTCTGAATCCAATGGTCATATTTATCAGCTAAAACGTTTCTTGAAAATACTTCTTGAAATTATAGGTTTCATGTGCATGATTTATTCCTGGGTAGGTGTCTCTTCCCTTTCTTGGACAAAGCTCTCACTGACGCTAATCTGTTTGGATTCTAAGACAACATGCTGATTTTTTCTTCCTTGTGATTTAATGCTTTGTCGTTCAGATAACGGCGAGGCCAGTGCACTTGCACTGTTCCAACTTGCCATGAACACATTCTTTGCCTGCCTTTAAAAATAGACTCTACGTTTAAAGCATTTCACTTAGTAAAAATATTAAGTTGGTATTAAATGGAAAGAGTCTTGTTAAAGTTTATTTTTGGTTTTGAATTTATGCAGGATTGTGATTTAAAGTCCTACATTTTACAAAAGCACAGTGTGTAGCCTGTTTAAAGCAAAGAAAGACCACCAATATGGAATTTCCAAATTGGGGTAAAGGGAGGTAGTACCACTGTTTCTATCAGATTCTAGATACATCTATTTTATACAAATAAGCTTTTTGAGTTTGACCAATTACAGATTCCAATGTAAAAATGGGCTTGCCAAATAATGTAAGAGAGTAAATAGTTCATACAAGCTCAATTTAGATTCTGCAAACACATTTTATTAAGATTTATTAAAGAAAAAGGCATGATCAGTCCTGGTGGGTGAAGGGCAATGTCGTCTCATGATTCAGATTATGGGATCTGGAATCTAAATGCTTAGATTCAAATCCTAGACCTAGAAGCGAACCTGTGAACTCTTAACTCATGTGTTTCATCTTTTATCATTTCTAAGATGAAGATTACAGGACTGTCTGCAACACAGGTTGTTGTGAGTAATGTTTAAGGTGAGGAGTAATTAGACCCTACAGACAGATGTTCAACAAACATCAGTTTTAATGGGTCTCTTTGAACTTTCTATGAAAGATACCAAATAAAAATACATTAAAGGTCTAGAAAGTTATCCACATAGAAATGATGCTTCTAGAAGGTAATGTAGATATACAAAAAGGAGCAAATAAGTTTTAAAAATTGCTATAGGTTATGAAAGAAATGTGTATTAGATTGTATACAAGTTCAGAAAGACATAATATCTGGACTATGGGTTTAGGGAATGCTTCCTGGCATCAGTCACACTGCTATGCAGAATAGGGTGAGGACCAAGATTCTGGGCCAGCTTTGGAGGTAAGCTCATCTAGGTTCAAATCATGACTCTGCTGTTTACTTTATGGCTTGCACAAGTTACTCAGTGTGTCTAAGACTTTCCCTATTCTTTTCCTTAAAAGTGTAATAATGGTAGACACAATTATCAATCAATAAGCAATGCAATTCACTATTTTAATGATACTAGGGAGAGAGGGTCACCATGAGTAAAGTCATAGGTGGGTGCAACACAGTAAAAATGGGTAGAAAATAGCCACATTTATCTAGTTTTATTTCCTTCCACTTATCAAGAATTAATTCACCCCACCTGCATTTACTTAATTACCTCTATGTGCCAAGGTTTTGACTAATTGTTTCCATGGATGATCTCATTCAATAACTCACATTCTTCATGTGAGGTTAAGATTGTGATCTTCATTTTACAAATGAAACCACTTGGACCGAGAGAAGTTAGTGGCTAAGCCAAGATGGTGTGGATAATGAATGGTATTGCTGGAATTAGAATTTAGGTGTTTTATTCCAAAGCTCATGCTTGTGGTGGGGCATCTTCTCATTTACTATATCTAGCAAATGCCCTATAGAGGGGAACCTCTGGGACCCCAAGGACTTGTTCCTCCCTTAAAATGTCAGGAAAAAATATAGTATTTATATTCTATTTGTCAAGCTCTCATTATTTTATTCTCAAATATCGGAACCACTACATATGATTTATTGTGTAAGAACCAGAAACAATGTTAAGATACTTACATTATTTGTAAATTTTCTTTAATTCTTTTAAGTAATTAGAAAAAGTAGCCAAAACATAAGTTTTATAAAGCAAAATATAGACTGTCTCAAATATTCATGTAAGTACTAAGCACATAGTTCACTCAGTATTTATTTATTTATTTACTTACTTAACATCTACTCAGTATTTACTACTTGTTTGCACTCTTCTGAGCTTTGTGGACACATTGACGAATAACAGAGACAAATATCTTTGCCTCCTGGATAGGGATTAGGCAACAAGCCAGATAAATAAATTATGTGGTATGTTAGAAGGTGATAAGGTTATGTAGTAAAATAAAATGGGTTGTCTTGAGGTTTCATTACTTAATAAGGGTTTTCAGGGATTTGCTCAGTGAGAATGGCCTGGAAGTAGCTGAAGGAGTGAACCACACTAATAGGTGAGGAAAGGCAAACAGAGTGAAAAGCAAAGAGCAAAGGCCCAGAGGTGGGAGAAAATTGATTAGTTCAGTTAGAAAAATATGCTCATTTTAGTGACTCTGATTCAATTGATTGATGGAAATACTTCTTTGGGATCCCTCATGAAGAAACTTGGTGAGAAGTATAGTATGATAGGTAGCTTGGAGGTCAGATCCAGGAGTGTAAGTGACTTTAATTTTCTAGGATAAGTAAAAAATACATGTATTTTAACTTTCTTTTTGTGGTGGTACTAGGGTTTGAACTTAGGGCCTACCCCCTTGCTAGGCAGGAGCTCTACCACTTGAGCCATGCCCCCAGCCCTTTTTGCTTTCCTTATTTTTCAGATAGGTCTTGCATTTTCTTGCATTTTGACCTGGCCATTCTGGATGGTGATTCCCCTACTATGTCTCCTCTGTAGCTTGGATAGAACCACCATGCCCAACTTATTTGTTGAGATGGGGTCTTGATCTGGGCTGGTCTTGCACAGCTATCCTCTCTGTTTCTGCCTTTTCAGTAGTTGAGTTATAGGTGTGAGTCACCATGCTTAGCTTCATGTTAACTTCCTTAGCATTGATTTGGATTGTGAGCAATTGGAAAGACATATCATGTATATCAAAACATAGGACACCCTTAACTATGATACCTCACAAATGCTGTGCCCCGAGTCACCAGTCTTGTATTCAAATTATTCTCCACAGTAAGGTATAACTTAAGAGAAGATTGCCTTGGTGCTGGGTTTTTGTAAATGCTCTAGCCCGATTTGTAATCCCTTTCATCTATATCTCTGTGAGCCCTTTACCATGCTAGGTCTCCTTAACTTGTTCCTTTATGTTACTAGAATATTGGATCCTTTAATGACTTTTCTGCTACTTATAACCAACCACATGTGACTTATCCTTCTTTTGAATTGATGTACCCTGTGTGTATTATATTGCTATCATCACAATCAAACCTGATTTGTAATCATTTGTGCATTTCTTACTAACTTCCCAATTCTAAACTTTTAGGGGGGTAAGTCCATGATTATTCATCTTTGTATCTCTATTTTCTTGTGCAATTCCTTGTGCATAAATAGTGAAGCAACCACTATTTGTTGAAGTTAGTTAAAATTCCTGTGAATTGTTATATGTTAAGTAGCATCAATTTTGATACTATTAAAATAGTTCAGTAGTTTTCTCATCACAATATTTCATCCCATATGCTTAAAATAAAGCAATTTTCATGAATTCCAAAAAAAATCTCAAAATTCTTCCTCAAGTATTTGGTTGTGTTAGATAGTGTGCAGTTGACTAAATAAAGCAAAATCAATTTGAACACCGGGGTATTGATACTCATATTATGACTCTATAATAGTTTCTTTGGATATATTGCCTATGATTTTAATAAAAAACACATTGTATGAAATATTTAAGTTTATAAAACAAATAATAGTATAGATTTAACTTTAACTTTAAATGTTCTTTACTCTTGGCTTCTGTTCTACAATTAGTTTATTGAATAATTTCCAGGGTTCCTTGGGCACCAGCTGTTTTTCATTCTTCCTAAGGGCAGCTTAAACCATGACTCTAAACCACAAACCACACTAGTTTCTTAGAATAAGAATTATCCCCTAAAGAATGAATTTGCAAGACTCACACAGAGTAAAATTTGTAGGATGTCCTCTGAATGAATTAATTTCAGAATTGTTGAGGTCTCTCTATAAGAGGAGGATATCCAAAGACAGAGGTCTTTGTTTTTAAAGTATAAACAATGCGGTAAAAAGACAAAACAATGCGATGGGGAGCCCACTTAACACATAATTTAGTAAAATATACTGCTGCATAAAATTGATGAAATAAATGTGATATAGACAAATACTATGGAAGAGTCAACAAAGGGAATTATAATCTTCAGCTGGCAATCATGAAAGACTGGAGGAGGTGCATTTGAGCTAGATGCTTAGGAAGGGGCAGGCTGGCTGTTATAGCAGGCAAAGCAATGACTGAACAATATCAACAGCAGTGGAAAAAAGATTACAGTTTCTTCAACCATATTTTTGAAGCATTTAAGAAGAGAGTGTCTCCCTATTATAAAAGCAATTAGGGAGACTGAAGTGTGAGAGCAGGGTCAAAAGAACATCTTAAAAAGATGGCCTCAAAATAGATATTGTCAGAGAAAGTCACCAGGGTGGTGACTGCTGAGTAAGCAGTG